CAGTTTTAATACCCTACTTTCTCACTAGTTTGTATATACTTTTTGAAAGAAGACATGAAGATAAAATCAGGATGAGAAAAGATCTCTTGTCTATTTTTGAGTAAATAGTCTCCGTCTGAAAATGTATTCTTCAGTAATGTAATATTGTCAACAATTAGGCCAAATGGATAATTATTTTGCAGGAATACATTTTTCAGCCGTTCCAACTCTTTAGTCAAATGTTTGTTATCCGCTGGTCTCTTCTAATAATCCATGGTTTCAAAGTGAGTTCCAGCTTTGATGATGCCAATCATATAATGGACGCAAGCCCAACTGGTTTTTATCCGAAACGAGGGACGATGCCTCGTGGACTGCGTCAACCTGAACGTCGTAGTTAAGCCAAATAGGTGCAGTATAACGGGATGCGACCGTTATCTTCTGGTGAAATCAACCCACGAATTTCTTCTCCTTGCCCTTTCATACGAAATAAAGGCCTCCCCAACAATGTTATCCCAGGAGATTTATCAAAACCCGGTTATTAATCGTATCCATAATGTAGAATATTTCATATAAATGCCTTTAAAATAAGCTTTATTAGTATCGAAGTTGTTTGACATTGTTTTCGCAATTTGGTTATATTGGCAGGAAGACCTAGAGGAACGCACTTTGCCCGGAGTCCATAGTATGCATGATAATTTCCAGAGTCGGACCGCGGACCTGGTACCAAGTCTACGGTATGGCAGAGGATATATGACAAAGCACGTTCCACAAGATCTCCCTGGCTCTCCAACCAAGCTGAGAAAACGAGGTCAAACCAACACTATAAGGCTACTTTATGTGTTTAGCAGTTGTCGGAATAGATTTTGATCATAATTGCGTGGAATCGACATCAATCGAAAACACTATGATCAGGCAATCATTAGCGGACAACTAAGATATTACATTACTAATTTAGGTAACCTAAAAGGAATCAATTATTGTACACATTAGATTAGTTAAGTTTTTACCAGGAGGGCCTGATGATGCGAGCGCTCAGCTTCAATATCACGTTCTGCCCTTGCTTCGACCTCCTTTAAGCGCTCCTCAAGAACTGCACATTGAGCAGTCAATCGAGCGTTGTCCTCACGTAGACGTGAAACTCGAGCCTCAGATTCTGCAAAGCGACTTGAAGCCAATTTTTCAACCCGTTCTTCCATTCTGGTCATTTGCTCCTATATTTACACAAGAAGATCCAGTTAAATCCACTAACAGAACTAAAATCTCAAAAATTAAAATATAACCTTGATATTTAAAACAAAATATTAAATAAATTTTATAAAAAAGATAAGCATAATGTTGGTTTTCATATCTAGTACCCACTTTAGGGCCTAATTTCGTCCACGTAATGTTTTATTCTAAAAAGAGAAGTCGTTTATGGATGACATGTCAAGCGGCTGCAAATGTGCTTAATCGACTGCATCCTCCCCCAAATTCTTTGTTTTTTGATCCTGCAATGTTGACGCATGTGATTGCGTTCCATTGTGTACGTGTACTGTGAACATGCATAAGACCAGTCTTCCTGGTGTATTATGCGAGCCATGCGTTTGGCGAATCCTGATTTTCTGATCCACAAACAAGCTCTTTTGTGTTAAAGCTAATTAGAGGTTGATAGCCATGTAGAAACGTGGCCTAGGGATACGAGGATGAATTATACCATAAGGAAACTAAGGTCTCAAGAAGAAATAGTATTGATAACAGACAAAACGGGAGCAGTTGTGGTCATGGATAGGATTAATTGTCTAGAAAAAAAGTGCAGAGACCAGATGACATTTAAATTAACAAAATTGTCTCCAAGACCCCTGTATAAACCCTTAAGGCTAGACTCAGTGGTTGCCTGCAACCCCTTATTTAGTACATAAACACACTTCTACAACGAGATGCCAAGCCCTAAAATGACTATGGTCTGACAAAATTACATAAGAGAGAAATAAGACTCTTAGTTATTGTGAATAATAATAGTTGTATGAGCATAAAACATTAAGATCTATGTTCACCAAATAAGGCAAATCGCCGAGACGTGGCAGTTTTCAATAAAGAATTATTATGACAGAAGATAAAAAGGAGGGATTTGCATATAAGTTTTTATGTAGTCGATGTACACAAACATCCTTGTAAGCGAAGCTAGACAGACTCTAGAGTTAACATTGAATAAATATGCAGAGATTTTAGGGTGTACAAATATATGTAGAGTTAATAATGATATTGAGATATATTCATCCTATTTTGTTTAGGGTAATAAGGGGCTGGTAGTTGAATTTTCCTACAATTATATGAGTAGGCATAACGTTTCCATTAAATTTAACATAGTCCTGCTTTCCAAAAAGTTATTTTCATCCAAGGTGGACTGCAGGTTCGACCTCGCCTAGGTCTTATCAACATCCCCAAAGGGATATAAAATACGATACTGCAGCGTATGATCTCGACACGTTGGATGGCAGCCTCTTTTAGCTTTATAGTGTTAGAAGCGGGTTGACCTCATTGTCGCAACTTGGTCTTGTTTTCAGGGAGACCATGTAGAACTCACCTTGTCATGATTCCCAACATCTGACAATGGACTTGATACATTCTCAAACGTTTCGCCGACATCATCAGTGAGTTTTATAGTGTTAGTTCGACCTTGTTTTCGCAACTTGGAGCGTCAGAGAGACCTTGTGGAACGTACCTAATCCTGTGTCAGCTGCCATAGTATTCGTGATTTCTAACATCGAACAAGTGACCTGGTATATTCCCAGTCCATGAAAATAATGAAATAGAAAATTCTGATGATGCATTATACATATTTTACCCGCAATGGTAAAATACACGAATAAACACAAAGTTTATCCATTAGATAGTTTTTGTCCCCAATTTTAGCAAATAATTACATAATTATATTTAAAAAACGATAAATTCATGAGGCACATTTAGTCCCTAAATTATTGGCTCGTTGTAGACCTAACTACTCTGCCGTTTGGCAGCATGACAAAGAAAACACGGAATACTTCCATAGTAGATAAATAGAATAGACGGAATAGACAGATTAGAAAAAAGAGAACGAACATAGGTAGAGATGTGTAAAGGAAATCCACAAATGCGGGTTTCCCTTCGAACTTATTTTCCAACCATATTTATGAGATCATAGATATGAAAATTGGTCAAGGCGATCGTCTTCAATTGTTGCTTTGATAAGTTATAACTCTGTGTTAATGATGGTGCTTCTCACTGACGATGCCGGCGAAACATTTGTAAATGTACCAAGCCAATGTTCCGAAACTGAAAATCACGAATACTAAGGCAGAGGACACAGGACAAGGAACATTACATAAGGTTTCTCTGACGCTCCGAACAAGTTGCGAAAACAAGGTCGAACGAACACTACTCATGAGGTTGACGTAGGAGTTATGAAATCTATGATAAGCAGGAGCCTGCCTCTTATGAGATGAATCATCATGACCAGAAATTAAAAAGAATTCTGGCCTATAACAACTATCCACTGAAAACTATGCATAATATTGGCAAATAGGATGAAAGTAAATACAAATTTGAGACCAGATAAAGGGCTAGTGCACTCCACCAGGATGATTATGCTGCCATAATGTAATCTCTCAAAGAAGATCTGCAAAAAACAGAGGAAGTAGGATATCAGGAATATTTATAAAAAGAAAATAACACACTAGAGCAGTGGTTCCCAAACTTTTCCTGGTCGCGGCGCCCTTTTTCAATTAAAATTTCGTCATGGTGTCCTACCCTAAGTATGACTATTCGTAAAGGATAAAAATAAATAAAACTCGTGCATCTTCATTATTTTTTTTACTTTATTAACATCAAATTAATATTTAATAATTAATGTGATAGATGAGTCTGCAAATCACTGCACATTTTCTCAAATCGTGGAATTAAACTGGAAACGGCCACCCTTATTTCGTTTTCCACGTTAATTTTTACTTTATACTTTCCTTTTATTGCAGCGACCGCCGAAAACCCAGCTTCGCATAAATACGTCGAAAATGGAATTAGAATCCACTGACCCTTATCACCTATAAGGGGATATTCATCTTTTATTGAAATCCAAAATTCTGTCAATTCCATGCTGCCTAATATTTTCGTTTCTTCACACTAGTGCCACTGGTTAAAGGCATACTTCCTTTATATGCATTATTACGTTTATAACTGTCCAAAAATCGGTCAATTATCAAAGATACAAGAGCCAAAAATCACAAAATTATTTGTCAAAGACAACAAACAAGAAGTAATATAACACTAACTAAATTACAATATGAACTCATTTACTAATTTATGTCACTGTTTATTTATATATGAGGCGCTGAGTTTAACTCCACTAGACTCAAATTATAAGGCGACTGACTGAATCGAGCCGCAAGATCTTCCAGGACATTCCAAATCTGTCGCGAAGGTTCTACGCACCTCGACGTGTCTAGTGAGATCATATGGCGCGATCGAGAAGACACAGTGCTTTCTCTCACGTTTTTGTTTATTTGGGCCAAATGTCTGAATTAAATTAATTCTGAAGCTTTTACAATATTTTGCGGCGCCCCTGTAAACAGGCCGCGGCTCCCTGGGAAGCCGCGGCGCACAGTTTCGGAATCAATGCACTAGAGAATATTCTGGTCATCTCTCCAGATCGGGCTGTTTCAAAATATTAAGTTCATGCGGTAGCGCCTATCTGGGAGAGACCTGCAGGTCTATACATAAGAGTTTATCCGGACCAAAAGAACCTGCAAAGGTTTTTGGTTTCAAAAACTAGAATTGGCCAAACATATGATTGATACGGGACACCATGAGCCAAATGCTTAGGTGCATATAAGAACTATAAACAATAAGCGGAAGGTTAGGGAAGCTAAGGAAATCAATAAAGGAGCCAACACTGAATAGAATAAATGAGTGTAGGAAATTAATAGGAAATGACTTGTGGCCGTTGGAAAGGATATTAAGACAGAGGAGAACAAGAAGTACCACCGAGCAAGAGGAGGATTAATTAGGCTCGAATCTGGTTTTGACTCACATTATACACATTTCAAGAGCGATATACATCTAATGGAGCGTAATCGCATGCGGTAACAATGCAACTCATAGACTTGGTATTAGATATAGAAACAGGATAGACGCGGCGGCGATGGGAGCTAGTAGGCTGACAGTAGATTTTATAAGAGACGTGCTCCATGGGGCAAAAGCCTGACCATGAGCTTGCTCAGAGGCTTTAGCCTCGAATTAGTCACCCAGACGCAGGGGAGAGCGAATAACGCTTCGAGTGGCACAGATGAGTGGCAGGGGTCGAGTGAAATATGTGAACCAGGGAGAGGGCAGACGGATCATACGGGGCAGGAGAGAGACTGTGGTAAGACCTAGGGAAAGAGGACTGCGTAACAATATGGCAGACTCGTTGACTTCACCCTATTTGCAATACAAGGTTAAGGAGAAGGGAAAAGTGTAGCTGCGTATAGAAAAGGCTGTAAGTCTAACTAGCTAAATAAAGGATTAATTGATTCAATTCCAAACATATTGCTAAAAGTTTATTCAGAACAGTTATTTGTGAAGGTGCTGAGGGAATAAGCTGTAAATCAGTTGAAGATATGAAGATTAAGATGTTCTGGCTTCTGGTATGGTCGCCGTCTCCTTTCGATTTATAGAAGTGGGTTGACCTCGTGTCGTTACTTGGTCTTGTTGTCAGGGCGACTTAGTAGAATGCACCTAGTCCGAAGTCGTCTGCAATAGTAGTTGTCATGATTCCCAGAATCAGACAGTGGATTTGGTACGAGGTCAACCCACTTCTATAAATCAATTGATTGGATTATTTAAACAAAGGTGATTAAAGCAGGGAAGACGAACAAGAGTAAAGTGCCTAAGCTTGAGTAACTTCCGGTTTGGAATGGCAATAAAAAACGCTTTAAAAAATTCCAGGTAGTCCATGTCTAATAAAATATAACTTGAACCAAAAGTTATTATAGAAGTTGTTTGACCTTGTTTTTACAACATGGTCATATTGGTAGGAAGACTTAGAGGAACACACCTAGTCCGGAGTCCATTGCCTGCATGATGATTTCCAAAGTTGAACTGTGGACGTGGTAAATTTCCAAACGTTTCGCCGGCATCTTAGTCGGCATCGTCAGTGAGTATCGCCATTCTTAGCACCATACAACAAC